CTACAGCAATCCTTCCGTTTCCGCTTCCGGTGTTGCGGAGATCCAGGTCGAAGATGGCGGCGGTTGCGTCCCGGGTTTCTGGCCTGCTAGGTCGTTCCCGGCTGCTACTGCGGCGGCCTATGTCGAGTGGCGCCCACGGCGAGGAGGGCTCAGGTACTGGGCCTGGGGTCGCGGGGCGGGTCTCAGTCCCACTCGAGCGAGGGTAGGCAGGACCGTGACCTTGGCTTGAAGCCTTGGGGGAGGGAGGTGAGACCCGGGCGGGTCCCCGCTCGCTGGGCCTGAGGGTTTGTGCCCCCTCCTCAGCTCGCATGTGGAAGACCCTCACCTACTTCGTGGCGCTCCCCGGGGTCGGAGTGAGCATGCTGAACGTCTTCCTGAAGACGCACCACGGAGAGGAGGAGAGGCCCGAGTTCATCGCTTACCCCCATCTCCGCGTCAGGTCCAAGGTACCCCTGCAGTCTCTTATAGTGTCTGTTCACCTTTCATTCAAAATGCCCTAGTTCTTCATTCTCTAAAAGCGTCGGAGCCGGGTGTGTTGTTTCTCCTTTAATCCTCCCAAACATTTTTTAGTTTCTCCGGTTTTACGGGAGGGAAACTTGAGACTCTGGTGTCATGTCTGAAGTTTTCTTCATTGTCATACGATAAGTGTCCTTTAGCTTTCCTTTCCCTGAGTCATTCCACCTTTTGCCCTCTGATACTGTACAGTTGTCGGTTGTACAAAACTTGGAGGTTTGGGGAACTCTTAGACTTTCAGAATCGGAAGGTGGTTCACCTTTCTAAGATCTGGGCACCTGGTATCTATTAGCAGCTAATGAAGAGACTGACAGCATCTATTCCTCACCTCTATGCTAGTTACCGTCCCAGCTATTTCATTCTTTCGCTATTGATGCAAATATAATCATTTGGTTTTTTGCTGTAACTATTTTTAGAAAGAGCACTTTAATAATTGATTTTTGTTAAATAATTTTTTTGGAGGGGTGAGAGGGAGATAATTAGATTTGTTTGTTTAAGAGGAGGTACTGGAGATTGAACCCAGGACCCCATGCTTGCTAGGCAAGTGGTCTACCACTTGAGCTACACCCTCCCCCACTGTTTTGTTTGTTTTTTTAAACGGAGGTACTGGAGGTACTGGGGATTGAACCCAGGCCAGGACCTCGTGCATTCTAAGCAATGTGCTCTACCACTGAGCTATACCCACCTCCCCCTAGAAACTGATTCTTTAATATTACCTCACTCAGCCCAGGTAGGACTGGCCTCATGGAAACTTAACCTCAATTCTTAGATTCAGACAGAATCTTTGAGCCCAACCCCACCCCCACCCCGGTACAATAGAATTAGAAGGCACACAGCAAGGTTTCTTAACCTAAGTATTGTTGACATTTAGAGTTGGGTAATTCTTGTTTGGGTGAGGGGCTGTCCTGTAAATTATGGGATATTTAGCAGCATCCTATCCACTAGGTGTCAGTAGTACTGCCTCTCTCCCCAAGATGGCTCCAGATGTTGGCCTGTGTCCCTAGAGGGGCAAAATCATCCTGGGTTGGAAACCACTGCCCTAGAGTAATGCTTTTCAATAGTAGCATGCAAAATAAATGAGAGTAAGTTGCAGTTTCCAATCCAGAGAGTTGTTTCAGGTCCAGAAGCCTGCATTTAAGTAAGCATCTCCTCCCCTGTACTCACCTCTACCATTCTGATGGGGGACAGGTGATTGAAGGATTACACTTTCAGAAACACATCACTGATATACAGTTACCAGGGAGAGGCTTCTGAGTAATGAACTTGAGCTTGCTTTTCCTACGGTCTAATGTACAGGCTCTCCTGTAGTTTATAAGAGCTCCCTTAAGTTATGGGAGGACTGAAATATGTCAGCAGTTAAAGGACCAATTTCCATTTTGTTTTTTTAATGTATTACCCTATTTTAAGCAGCTTGTGGCAGTGCTATTTCGGAACTATTTTCTGGAATTGCCTAATTGGCATGTTTACTCCACAGCCCTTTCCCTGGGGAGATGGTAACCATACCCTATTCCATAACCCTCATGTGAATCCGCTTCCAACTGGCTATGAAGATGAATGAAGAGAACCTGGACCACTACCCAGTGGGGACCACAGCACTGGTTTGGACCATTACTCTGCACACATGGACCAGAAAAGTGTATGGGACCTTAAGCTCACCTTGTATCCAGTGATGACCATTATACTGATCTTCCGTCCCTTTGCTTATAGCAGGAGATGGCTTAAATAAATAACTTAGTCATGAGCTGGAGTGGCATTCCTTGGTGTTTTTCCCTCAGAAATTAGCATGAATGTTATTTCTGTTTCTGCAGTGAAGATCTGTGGCTGCTGCTTCAGGTACAGTTCAGACCTCTGATTAACAGTGTACCAGGCCTGTCCTTGATTTCTTGTGCCTGAAGTTAGTAAAGCAGAGACTATAAGTAGATCTAATTTATGGTCAAAATTGGCAGAGTCCTGGCAGACTCTGGATGGCAAAGACACCAGCCTTTGCTGCAGAATACTCCCTATAGTCAGATAATTTTTTCCAAAGGTGTCAAGTTCTCATCTTGGGTCATTAATCAGCAGCCTAAAGGCTGGAAGAAAGTTTTGGAGAAATAAAGGCAGTATGACACATTTCTGCATGTAGTACAAGCTTTATTGGTTTCTGGAATTAAAACCTTCCTGTAGCCATAAGATTTAGGAGAAATAATAGTTACAAACTCACTGTTAAAGAGCAATTAAGATTTTCCTCTTCACAGTTTAAAACCTTTGAAGTAGCTGATTGTTGGATAAGAACAATCAGAAAAAATTATTCCTTCATTAGCAATTACAGTAATATTTGTTTTATTCTCAAGGCTCAACCAGACATTTTTGTGGTAAGATTCGAGAGGCTATAAGGTTTTGACTGGCTTGTGGCCAGTCTTATTTCAGGACAGATATACTTAACTCCAGGTTTCTCCCTCAGCTGCATTCCAAATATCTTTAGTATAATGGACCTTAACCTGTCAAAATAATCAATGTAAAATGTATTATAATGACATTAAGGGCTGGTCATGTTAAATATGAAATTCTTAATTGATAAAGTGAAGAGGAGATAATAGAATCTAGGCCTTCTGTAAGTCAAGTTTCACACTATGTAGGCACATAAAAAACAGAACCAAATCATTCACGATTTGCAGTTGTGGAGACTACATGAGATTCTAAAAGTATGTAGGTGCTCACCTGATTCTGACTTTTGTGTGTGTGTGCCATTATATAAACTTTTAAAGAAGGTATTTGTGTAGCTTATTGTGGAAATTTTAGAAATCAATGAGGTTTCCAACTGCTGTACCATACTACCTAGCTTAGGTAAACCTTCATTTTTAAATCATAAAAACAAGTAAAACTCTCCCCGGTGTCTACATGGGATATGTGGGATTGATTACAGGGTGATAACTTCCATAAAGTGCACTGAGTTCCAGGGGCAAATAATAGAAATTTATTCCAGCTTCATGATTACAGACATTACAGGGCAGGGGGAGCAGACAAAGAAAATAAAGCAAACTTTTCTCTCCCCCATTTAACCAGATGCAGCATTTTGGCATTTTTATGACATACAAGTTGACTTAACTCATCAACTTAGGTTGAAAGCTGGCAACAGCAAATCTTTGCAATATAAGATAATCCTCCATAGCTACTCCAAGGATCTTAATTTCTGAACTACACTATGAGCTATGAAATGGTGCTCACTGCAGAATTCTTGAAGCTTTCACATCTTAGTGAGATCTGACACTATTTGTTAAGGCAGGGAACTGTTAAAAGCTGTTTTCCTCTAGGTTAACCCAGTCCACCAGCAATCTTAACAGTTAAGTTACTATATAAAAGTAAAACTCTGCTCCCAAGCATTATTGAAAATGTGCTGGGAGCCTTTTCCAGAGCATAAGCTCCCTGAGAGAAAAGAGATCCTAAGCAGTTGCTTCCATGGACAATAACCCCAGTACAGTGTACATGTCCTTTGCAGCATAACTCAAGAGGTCGGGAAACTTGCTCATCCTTACAAGCTTATCAGATATTTTAAAAACTGATCACAGGCCAAGTATTGCAACCACAATCCTAAATGATCGCATTATTTAGCACATTGAGTTTCTGCAGAGATGTCAAAGCCAGAAATCTCAAAGCAAAGAGTGACAGTTCATTAACGAGTGAAAAATATCAATGAGGAAACTGCTCCCTCCTAAACTCATCAAATGGATCGCTTCACAGCTTTAATTGACACAATCCAGAGTTCTCAATTTCCTGATTCGAGGAGTCCATTTCAAGGTGACTGTCAAGGTCAAGAAGAGCTTTCAGGCTTTTCTTTGCCATGGCCCATGAACTCCAGTCCTTCAATGGGAATCTCCTTCTCCTTTATTGCTTTCTAATGGGAGAATAAAACACATGATAAAGATCTACATGAAGCCTGAAGACCAAACTTTATAAATATAATAGTACAAAAGTAAATCTGACTGGACCATAAAGATTCCCAAACGTGATTCAGACCCCATACTTTTCAACACAAATATGATTACGAAGAAATTAATGTAAGACCAGAGAGATTGGAAAGAATCAAAATTCAGAAATGGAATTTAAACAGTGTCACCACTCTACAGTGACAGACACAAGTTGAAATCAGTTCCAGGACTTGCTGGCTATGTAACTGAGCAAGTCTCACTTTGCTATCTGTATATGGGATAAAGACATCTTGGAATTGTTCTGAGGATGTTTTTTAAGTTAACTAATTGGGAGTGCCTTGCGCAGGCTATTCTTACAATTCAAAACAGTTTCACGTTCATTGGGCTGGAATGAAAATTTCCGAATTAGCCTAGAGAGAAAATAAGTCAATGAAGGGATTGTAACAAAACGAGACCCTCCACTGATGTCTAATAGGCCAGCGAGGCTAACACCCCGCGACTCACCCCTCAGCAACAGTGGAAAAGT